ATGTTTGGATTTTAAATAAACGCCGAACTCGAATCACGAAAAATTTGATAAACGGCGCGGCGTTTAATCAAATATATACAGTATGCAATAAAGCAGAGAGGGCTATACAGTAATGCGTAAATATGAACATCGCTGATGTAGTTCTCTCCATCCGTACTGAACGTCCGAAAACGTACAATGATCTGGATCTACATTTTGCTTAATTTTTTGTCTATTAACTTTGGGTAAAGGACTGCACGTCACGCCATGGTCGCGCTTGCTCGAGCTTGGGCGGAAAAACTCGGTTCCCGGCCGGTGACCCCTATTTTTAATAACATCAAACATAAGAAAAAACTTTATAATACCCGGGATAAATTTTTCATTTACAGCCAAAACTATGTAGCCAGTATAATTGGTTGTGCAAGTGGCAGTGATCGGGATATTCATGGAATCATTTTGACACACAAACGTTGTTCTGAAGACCCTATTAGCTTATTGATTTAAAGATTTTTACATTAACTGTTGATTAAAAAAAAATCGAATTCAAATGGAATAGGTGGGAATATTCTTTTAAAAAAAACAAAGTTAGCTCTTTTTTTAGATCTTAAACCTAAATATCTTGGAATAGTACGTGACTATATCCCTTGATAAGATCGATTTTGCCTCATGTCATATTTGCCAAACGAAATTAGATTCCGTTTCAGCTGGCACCATCCATATAATTAGAATAAGGAGTTGGAGAACAGATCAGCACAACCCCAACAAGAATTTAATGGGATGTCTCCCTCCTCCTGGGGAAAGGAGTTTGTCAATTTTTGTGTAACCCTTCCGTTCTGAGCGATAAGTAAGGATGGGAAACTGTAATAACCAGGACCAATGATCTGAATATTTTTAGCTTGACGTTTGTATCCTGAGTAATAATTGTTAGCAGCTTATAGATTGCACCTGGTCACGGCAGGAATCAAGTCAGCCTTCAGGTCCACGCTAATTACTCTACGTAGCCTTAATTTCAAAACGTCGAGGAACATGAATGAATATATGGAAATGTTTTATTTATCATCAATGATACGATAATTTGCTTCAACCTGAAGAAACCATCCGTAACATAACCACTTCAAATTCTCATTTAGCACATGTTTGC